AAAGACTTTAGCATACTATTAGATAAAACTGAATTATTTGATAGCACTTTCAACCCAATAAAAATGGAAAACCAGGCTTAATAAAATAACTCAAATATGACAAAGTTATTATGAATAAAATAAAGTTGTCACAATAGGTCAACTTGTTACTCAATCTTTCAACAAGCTTTAACAACAACTTAACCATGGTGAGCAAATGGAAATGAATTAAATTAGTTGGCCACAGAAACTTTAAACATCCTGAAAGTTTTAACCTTTATTACATGTACTCCAAAATGCTCTTAATGAATCAAAGGAGCATGTTTATGCTAATCTTCAAATTTCAGTTTTTAGATAAAAGTATACTTTTACTTTAATTATACTTAGTATACTCTTGGTATACTTAATTTTGGAAACCTTATAAAAACCTTATATACATAATAAAAACCTTATTAAGGTGTTTCCATCATGGAATATACCATATAGATGAGAAAACATAATGTCAAATGTGAGCAAAATCTCAACATTGAGCCAGAAATCTCAACTCCATTACTAATTTCTTTAGAGTAATATTAAAATATGCATTCAGAAAAGGTGATGGTATGCAAACACTATTATAATACATGTAATATTGTACATGTAATATTGCTTACTCATATTTATTTGCATATCTGATAGAAGTGCGAACATTTAGGAGAAATTACCTTTGTAGGACTTTTGGCAATTTTTATTTCAGTTTGTACATTTACAAATAGCCCAGATGGGAAAATATTGTTTTTATTATCGGAAAAATAATAGTTACTTGCAAAACTTAACTTCCGGGTAGATACAAAATTAAAATTGTTTTCCAAAGAGAAATCAGTAAGTCATGCAGTTTGTACTGGAATTTCTTTAGTGTATAGTTTTCATGAGAGTGTGAGGCATGGAATCTCTGAAATATGAGAAAGTCGACACATTTGAGCACCTTTTAACCATAGAATGCCCTTTTACCACTTCCATCTCTCAGCTCATCTTCAAAAAAATGTGCAACAAAAAGAAATGTATTTCTTAAATAACAGTGAATATATGGTAATAAATTATCAAAGGACCTATTTACATGACTCTACTCAAAATTTTCTACAAAACATTTTCAGCAGTTAGATTTGGTAAAGAGAATTTAAGGAAACATCAGATTTGTTGAAATAATGTAAACTTAAGTGCTTAAAAAATAACATAACTCAAAAACATAAGAATAACACCCAAAGGTATGGCATAATTTTGTTGGCAGAATGTAAGTTTACCAGGGAGATTGTATGCTGCTGATAAAGCAGACATAGGCAACTTTATGGAAAGAGTAAATCGGCAAGTCTCTTAGTCTCATTTATTCTTGGCTACCTTATTTATAAAACAGAAGTAATAATACATGCTCTGCAAAGGTGTTGATTGGGGTTTACTAGAAGATATATGTAAGATACCCAGAACAATAAATACTAGCTTACTTTTTTGTTCCTTTTCTATTTTTTTATGACAAAGCTTATTATATACAGGCATCAAATAGACAATACAGATGTGAGAAAGTGTTGTTTTGTTGCATTTGCACAATGAAACATATTATGCGTATTACTTATTAAGATACAAAATGTACCAATGGTGTCTTAGGTAGATTTCTTGGAAGTAGACTCAGATGATTTTGTGGGTGAGTGGTGAACAAGGGATCCAGAGCTGTGAGTCATGAGAAAAGCAGGACTGGGTAAGCAATGAGGTAAGACTGGGGAAGAACTGCCCAGTGGCATCAGCAAATCTGAAGCTGGAATAGCCTTTCAGAGCTAGCTCCCCAGTTTTGAGGCAAGAAGTTGGGACTTTTTGCAGGCTGCCCCCAAGAAGGGAACAAGTTCAGGACAGGTGGCTCCCTTTGGCTGAAGACATGCTTACGGAGGAACCCAGGCAGGCAACACTCCCTACTCAGCAGGAGGGACCTTGGGGATTCAGGACAGCATGCACAGTATGTAGGTGGTGAGCACATAGTCCATGTAACTACTTCGGCAGAGTACAGTTCTGTCACAAATCAAAGTCTTACCAGTGGGAACAATAGCCTATTAATTAGCTCATTTACATAATACATTCTCTCACTGTGATCTTCAGATGATCATTTTCCCTAATACGTGAGATGACATGAGAAATGACATATTTTGTGCAGAAATACAGAAAACAAATTTTAGATACGGAGATTGTCTATCTTGCTCAGTCTTGTTCTTTGTAGTGTGTATCAGGATAAGCCTTTAGGCACATAATTGTACAATGTTCTACATATATTAAAGACAGAAATGAAAGCATACTTTTCTCCATTTAGACAGTCCCAAATGAAAATAATAATTAGTTCCATGTCTATTGTTTATTTTACTTGCATTCTTAAAAATAAACCAATTAGGTACAAGGTTGGGTGAATTTAGTAAACATTTCTATCGCCATATTCCTTTCTTGACACCACTGTATTTGATTATTCCCATTTGAAATTAAGATTGAAATGAAGATTTTCTAAGGTGGAAGCAGTTTACAGCAGTCAATTTTGCAAATGTGCACATTCAAGAAGAAGAATAAAACAATTCCCATAGCTTTCTCTAGATAAAAATGATAACATTCTTGACTAAGAATTTATAGGATTCTCTATTCTTAGGAATTCCATTTTAAGCTTGTTTTCTGTGTGGTAAAGGAATAACCATTAATAGATATATAAGGCTTGGAATTGGGTGCCTTTCTTATTATGAACAAGTCTAAAAAAGCACACTTTTAGAATGGGAGATGGGGGAATATGTATAAGAAATATTATGTTTCCATATTAATGTAGGGTCCTAACTCAGTTGTGAGTTTAACTGCTTGTAGTTAGATCCACCTGCATATAAAGAGGAGGGCTGCTCTGAAGTGTAATTCCAGGCCAAACTACTAAGACCTAACTCATGTGTTCTCATTAATTGATGGTTGTTTTTAATGACATTTACCATATAGAACTTTGGGAAAAAACAATGTAAATAAAAAATGTAGCAACAGATTTTGTTAAGCACCAGACTGATCATTGTTGGAAGCATTGTTGGAAATTATGATAGGATTTTTTATGTTCTCTTAAACTGAGTTCTCTCTTTGAATAAAGAAAGGCACCATTTCTACAGAATATTTATTCTGAGGAAGCAAGTAGACTTCAGAAAAGCACATGCGTAAATGAATAAGAGCTGAGTTTGATTGCTAGTTTGACTATTTAAACTTGTGTGACCTTCATCACACTATTTAATCCATGTTATCCTCAATTTACAAGAAGAAGATAATGGCAACATCCCTGTGGTTATAACGAAAAATTAAATAAGAAAATGCACACGAAGCTTTTACCACAATGCTAGCCCATAATAAATCCACTGATAAAAATGTTAAAATAATCAATTTGATGGAACTTCTTCCCAAGTATTATGATTTGAAAATCTTTGACTATTCTAAATTTTGTCTGGGACCAGCTCTGATTTGAGTTTGTAAGCGAGGCATGATTTTTGTCCTCGTTTCTTTCCGTGATAGCATTTATTACTCCTCCAAAAGTAGTTTGTAAATATTAAGATAGGGAAAGTAAAACACCAAATCTGGCACCATTATCTCCAACAATACAGACTTAAACAAAAACAACTTGAAATTGAATGGCACTGTGCTCTCAAGGTTTTACTGAAATGTCAAATACAAGATTAAGATGTTCAAAATAAAGGCTGTGGAATATATATATTTTTAAACATAACTTACCAATTCATCTTATGCCTAAAGAACTTAGTAGTTCTCAATTTTTCTAAAAGACTATTTTTGTTTTTTATATGTCTTTGACCAATAACACCCATAACTATTTGTCATACAATAGAAAGAGAAATAGAGTCCTTTCTATTAGAATATTTTAGCTTAGTCATCCTATAAAACACAAAGAAAGGCAGAAATAATTTCCACTTCAAAAATGTACTGTTTTCTTCTCATTATTTGGTAGCAAACTACAAATTTATATTTAAAAAAAAATCTTTATGATGGCGGTGTCTAGGTGGCTCAGTCAGTTGAGCATCCAACCCTTGATTTTGGCTCAGGTCATGATCTTAGTTTCTAAGACTAATCCCCATGCACTGACAGTGCAGAGCCTACTGGGGATTCTCTCTCCCCTCTGTCTCTGTCCCTCCCTCTACTCACTCTCTCCCTCTCACAATAAATAAATAAACATTTTATAAAAATCTTCATAATGTCAAATGTTGGAACAGATCAAAACTCAGTCTCATTTATATATGTCATTAAAATTTAAATAAAAAATATCTTACTAGTCAAACAGAAAGCATCCAACTAGAATACAATATTGTAACATTTTGTCATTGCTATAGTTTCAGCTCACCAAAGGAATCCACTCCTACTCTCCCTCCTCCATGCTTTGTCTAATAACCTTGCATTTGTTTCCAAAAGTATTTTTCTGCTATTTTAAAAATATGTTTACTCCAGAACTCAATATACACTTTCCAAAAAGTATTCCAAAATGATTAAACAAACCCTAAGTTTTATGAGAAAATTTAAACAATCTGACAGATCATACTGTATTGTTGAAACACCTACTTGAGAAGATGTGTATTTTTCTCAAATTAACTGCAATGTTACTAACGTACTGAAGCCCCTCACATGCAAAAACAAAGAAGAACTTTAACATTGTTCTTTTAAAGGATATCCATTTCCAAAAACCTATATTAAAGGCAAACATCAAGGAATTCCAATGTCAACTTTTCAAATTATAGCAAATAAATATCTTGGAGAGTCATGATCACAATCCTAATGCAATTAACAATGTATAACAGAGAAAAGTTCCCCTTTGCATCCAAAACACTGTGAGAGATTATTTATTTTAATGTAGTATGCCAATCAAGTTTTTATGTAATGTTCTATCTTGGTTTTAAAAATAGATTAATCCATTCTTTTATCTTTACATCTGCAAGTACACAAATAACTTAACTCCGTAATATAAAATTGAGAATATTTTTAGAAAAACTTACCGTTGTCATTTTTCAGCATCCCGTTGCTCAGTTGTTTTAATCTCTTTTGATGTGATTTGCCATTGTAGTGGATTTGTGCTTGAGCTGCCGAATTGAGCTGAATGTTACAAACGTTGCACAAAGTGAAATTGGTATGTTTCTTTTCCTTCTCTGGTTTTTCTTCAAAGTCATCAGGTAAAAATTCAGCCTCACTCTCTCCATCTTGTGCACATGTGAAATCTAGAAATGCAAAGAAATTTATGGGTAGGTAGATCAAGACTTCTGGATTCTTTCACAGTACCAACCTGGGTAGCAAATGAACACTGTTATAGATAATAAGAATTCAAATTTTTAACTTCCTCCCATTTTAGTAGGTTGCTTTCATACTATTTAAAAGTGGATAGCTTCTTTAATGGAATACAAATGACAAATACTTAACTTTGTTTTTTCTATGTCAAATAGCGTGTTAAATGTCTGTCAAGGGTTTAGCAGGCATTACCTCATTCAATTATCATAACAAGAGAATATACATGATAGATTTTCCTGTTTCATAGCAGAGGAAGCTAAGGTTTAGAGCAGTCAAATCACTTTTCTAGGGTCACAGAGCAAATAAATGGTATAGTTGGGACAAGCATTCCGGTTTATTAATCTCCAAAACCCACATTCTTTGTCATCTTGTTCTGAAGCATGTGTGAGTACTGGGTATTTTCCTTTTGACTCAATTAAATAACAGTCTCTTATTTTTATATTCCTTGCCAGTTATGTAAAGTCACTTACATCTGGACTGATACATCCTACGCATATAAAAATACTGAAACTATTTCAATACCTAAAATGTTATATTTGACACCTGGAACACAAAAGAGCTTCTGAATACCCAAGATATCTGCATAAGTAGGGGGTGCAAAAAAGTGTAACTTATCAATGGATTGCAATGGAATATGTTATTTTTTGATAAACATCTTCTTTGTATACTTAAATCTAAGAGAAAAGGGCTACCTACAAACCCAGCACCTCTGGCCTTATGATGGTAACAATTAACTTCTGCAAAACACATTTTACTATTCATTTACAAATTACTTAAAACAATGGCCCCATTCTAAAATGTTTCTGTGTTTTCACTACATGGGATTCTGCATAACTCTTATGGCCCAGGGTTGATATCTCCATTCTAATTTTCCAGATTCTTCAAGGATTTATTTTATTGTCTTTGAAAATATTGGCAGAGAAAAACAATTATTTTAACATGCTCCTTTTTTAAATTTTATTTAGTGTTTCTTTATTTTTGAAACACACACACACACACACACACACACACACACACACACACCACACAGCATGAGCAGGGAAGGGGCAGAGAATGAGGGAGGCACAGAATCCGAAGGAGTCCCCAGGCTCTGAGCTATCAGCACAAAGCCTGGTGTGGGGCTCAAACTCACAAACTGTGGGATCATATCCTGAGCTAAAGTTGGATACTTAACCAACTAAGCCACCAAGGTGCTCCAACATGCACTTATGAATTGTCCACCATATGGCAGGTAATCTCCTAGGTGCTGGAGATAAACTGATAAGCAAGAAGAAGATGGTCCTTATCATTATTTGTGCTACTAATAATGATAAGGTCATGTCCTTTGGCATCAGGCGAATGTGATAACAAATGGCAAAATTATTTTAACAATCAAAATTTACCTGCTAAATCAAACCAAATACCTAATACTTGAAACTTAGAGAATACTGAAGTATCCAATTTCCAAAAGGAGTAAAAGATTTTAAGTATATAAATCGTGCTTTGGGGGGAACTAATTTATTTAAAAATATGTTAACGTTATTGTAAAAAGTAAGTTTTATGTTTCTTACTCAGGCAGACCCTATTACATAATATTAAATATACAATTTAAGTGGTCACATTTAAAAGAAAACAGATTTTGTGAAAGATAATATAATTTTAGTTAAAGCAAAATACATACTAAAATTTTTTAATGTTTATGTACTTTTGAGAGAGAGCAGGGAAGGGGCAGAGAAGGAGACACAGAATCTTAAGTGGTCTCCAGGCTCCAAGCTGACAGGACAGAGCCCGACACAGGGCTCTAACTCACCAAGTGCAAGATCATGACCTGAGCCAAAGTCAGATGCTTAACCGACTGAGCCACTCAGGTGCTCCACAAAATATATACTAAACATGTAACATTTTCTTATTTTTTGACGTTTATTTATTTATTTTAAGAGAGAGAAAGAGAGAGAGAGAGAGACTGTGATTAGAGGAGGGATAGAGAGTGAGGGAGAGAGAATCCCAAGCAGGCTGCATGCTGTCAGTCCAGAGACCAACACAGGACTTGATTCCAAAATATGAGATGATGACATGAGCCGAAATCAGGAGTTGGATGCTTAACCACCCAGGAACCCCTAGCTTTTCTTATTTTACATATATAAAAAAGCAATTTAAGTATCTACCCCAGGTCATATTCAGAATATTTCAAAACTTCTTTTTTTCTAGAACTGATTTATATTTTTACAGCCTTTTATCTCAAATTATCATTAAGCAATGAAAAAATTTAAATAAAAGATAATGTATATAATTACTGTGATATTGTATAGGCAAAAAAACAAATTGGAAATTTTACAAGGGAAATTCTTTCTCTATAATTAAGAAAATACACACATGTAAATTTACATATATAAATTTAAGTTTACATATAAAACACAAATAAGACTTAGAAAAAAAGTGGAACTAGTTGCTGATATGAATGGTGAACTTAGAGTTGGTGCTTTTCTTCATCTTTTCCATATTTTCAAAATTTTACACGATGAACACAGACTACATTTATGAAAGAAATAAGCCAAGAAAAAAAAGGACTCTGTATCCTACTGAATGAATGGTGGGTTTGTCAGAACTAGGCCAAACAATATAGACAGTCCTAGTACATGAGCCCTTGTGACAAATCATTTTTAATAAATATACGCATGTTTGGAAGGAAAAATTTTCTTCCTTGATTCACATTTCCACCTTGACCCACAAAATAAGCATGTCTGCCAACACTTTAGTAGGGGGAAGTACTGGAGAAGAAATTTTCTTCTGAGGCTACGAGATTTATTTGCTTACACATGAGAGACTCAAAGATCACAAGACAAAGTGAAGACTTTGTCACCAGTCAACAATTTTGCACTAGGGTGGGGAGAGGCAAGGATAACAATTCTTAAAGGAAATAGAAAATAAGATATATTAACCATGTGCCATGAACACTAGAAAAAAAAGGACATCCCAAATAAATTCTTGTACCTGGAGTGTGACATCACAAAGCATTTATAGAATTTGCAAGAAAATAGCAATGTTCCACATGGCATTCTCTAAAGTAGGAGGCAATATGCATAAAATAATTTTTTCTCCTAATACAGTAAAGGTATTTCTGGAAGGAAAATTTTGCTCATTTGAGTTTCACTGGGAAACTTTTCAGCGGTCAGGCAAAGGCTTTAGGCAACTAGCTTGGAACCCAAACTATTTTATCAATTCATCCATTTTTTCCCACCTAACCTCTATCCCTCAGAATCAATGAAGACACTATGAAAGTCTGTGGGTTATACAATAATGTGAATCTAGATTGTATCATGTAATAGGCTTCAGGATTAGCATTTTCCTGGGGATGATTAGTATAGGAATGAGTTATTTGCTTGTGTGTGTGTTTTAAATTTTGTAGACATAAAGTTTAAATTAATCCTATGATTTATAGAAATAAAAGGTAGGGTACTTAAGAGAATTCATTTTTGGTAAGCTACATGAGACAGTGCATCTGAGCATAATTTGAAAAAAATAAAAGTGGAAATAATACTATTCCTGGGAGGTAATATGGTTCTTGATGTTGATTTATAGTACATTGTTTAACCCACTTGAGAGCCTTCTGAGGTAGAAGCTGAAATGTCACCACTTGTATCAAAGCACCAGCTTTTGGTGTCAAGATGGCCCTGAAAGGGCTGATCTTTTCTTCCCCATACCACCCCCAGGGTAACAGTCCATAACCCTGAGACCCTACATTTAGTGTAACCCAACGTATTTATAATCAAAAGTTGGGGAATGGACATAAAAGCCAAATGACCAAAGTTGGAAAAACAAACTAAATATCGTGTTATTGGATTACAGCCCAAAGTATAAAATATTTCATACTGCAAGTATAATGAGTACCTACTGATGAGTAAATACTAATTATTAAATATTAATAAATATTAATTAATTAAAGTAAATATTAATAAATAAGTGAGGAAGAAGATACAACTCCCCTATAAAGTAATGCATGTAGTTAAAATAATTATCCTCCTCCAGGAGGAATGGAATATAATTCCACATTCCTTAAGTATACGCTATGCTTAGTAACTTGCTTCCAAATAATACAATACAGAAACAGGAAGAAAGTAACTATATAGTGGAGAAAATTGACAAACTGCCTTAGCAATGTAATCAAGGCTAACAACAGTGATAAGTAGTCACGTTGACAGCATGTATCCTTAAGATGACACGTTGAAATGGTATTTTACCTTTGTATATCCTCTGCACAAAAACACATGACCCAAGTCAGAGCATGAGAAAAATATCAGACAAAAACAAAATGCAGGACATTCTACAAAACACCTGACTCTTACTCATGAAAACTGTCAAGGTCATCAAAACTAAGAAAAGTTTGAGAAATTATCACATCCCAGAGGAGCCAAGGGAAATATTAAAAGTAAATGAAAGGTGGTATCCTTGATGAGATCCTGGAAGAGAACAATAAGTCTGGTTAAAAAATAATAAAATCTAAATAAAGTATGGAGTTTCATTAATATTAATGTATTATTATTAATCCCTAGTTGTGACAAATCACCCATAGTAATCTGTCAACAACAAAAGAAACTGGGTGGCTGGGGTATATGGGAACTCTACTAACTTGGCAACTTTTCTACAAAACTAAAACTGTGCTAGGGGCGCCTGGGTGGCTCAGTCAGGTAAGCATCAGGTCATAATCTCGTGGTTTGTGAGTGACAGCTCAGAGCCTGGAGCCCACTTCAGATTCTGTGTCTCCTTCTCTCTGTCCCTCCCCTGCTCACTCTCTCTCTCCCTCTCTTTCTTTCTTTCAATAATAAATAAGCATTAATAATTTTTCAAAATTAAAACTATTTTAAAATAAAAATATTATTTATTTTAGACTGGGAGATAGATCAGGGACCTTTTTTTTTTTGGTCTCTCTCCTTGATGCATAAAACAGGAATTTCTT